ACATCCAGCCGGTTGTTATCGCACATTAACACTCTTTTGCTTGGGTTGAACACATCATTTGTTGCTTAGTTGGAACAGCAGCTACGCTAATTTTTCTCTATTTCCTTCTCTGTTTCTGACATCTGATTGGCATCCCGTGGTAACTAGGAATTACACAAGCTTCAGTCTGGATCCAGCCCTTACGAAGATCAGAGATGACCGAACACCTGAGAAGAGATGATGCCAACCCCTCAGAGGACCTCATATGATGCCAACCCTGAAACAACATACAGAACTACCACATTTTGCTATAAGTTTGATTGCAACATATAATCATAGCTGTTAATAGTGATCATCGTCTGTTTGATTACATGACATTAACTAACTGCATGACTTTTACTGCACATTTCTGCCATATGGACAGCAACCTGAGATTGATAAGCTGATAAGCTATTACTAAATATAATCGTCGTGAAAAGCGCTATACAAATAAACTTGAATTGAGTTGAATTGAACCGCTGCATAACCGCCTTCAGGGGTTCACCCTTTCGGGGGTTATTCTGCGATAACCACCGGCTGGATGTACATTATCACTTAATTCCTTTTTATTTCTATGTTTATGTACATGAATTCAAACAAGGTCAGCCTACTGTGTGATGTGTGAAAACAAACTTCATTGGCTTTTGTGAAAGCTCAGGCGTGCTTGCGTAGACAAAATCTGATGCAAGCACGTCTGAGCATCCATTTATCAGTTCTGATGTATGTGAGCAATCATGTCTCTTCAGAGGACTTGGAAGAAACCAATCGATTCATATGAATTACTTTTGCGATGTTTGAAGTCATGAAACGTGAACAATTTTGGTGACTTTCAGCGGAGGGACATTAAAATAAATAAGTTTTTGTTTGAAGATGAACGAATGTCTCAAAGAGTTTGGAACAACATGAAGGTGAGTACTTGATTACAGTATTTATAACATATATTTATAATTTTGTTTTAGGATGAACTGTTAAATTAAATAGAACATTCATTGTTATATCTTTATTTTTCCCAGCTTCTTAAAGCGTCTATCTGTGTAGTTTTGGAACCTCATTATTTTGTGACTTTAGGTAAGTATTTAATTTCTGCTATATTTAATTTGACCAATCAGGGCTAAGCTTTTCAGGTTATAGTCCAGTCACACCACCGTATGCTGTTGAGTTGGCAGCATGTTTTAGCAGAGATCATCCCAGTTTGGCTTTATTTCATTTTCCTGACTAGAATACAAGGTCAGCTCCTGCCTCCCGTCAACAACTTAATGGGTGCTTAAAATCTACGTCTACCAAGTCAAAGCAGATACAGACAGATGAAGATACTGCCCTCAGAAATACTGCTTATTGGTGGTAAGTTTTACTAGCCATTTTTTATTAACTAACTTTGAGCTCACTTCTGAGCTTTTCCTAGGTGGATAGTGCTGGTGTGCATTTGCAAATATTACTATGACTAACAAGTGGAATGCTAGTTAACCACTACTGACACTTACTAGCTAGTTGTCTAGCAACTACAGGCAGTGGGTATATGGCTGCTTAAACATTGTCCTATGTATTGGCAGAAAGAATAATTTGTCATAATGGCATGTATACTATTAACATGCTTTTTAAATTAAAATGAAGTTGTGTATTTTTCCCCTCAACAATTTGGCCTTATTGTATTGAAGTAAATGTTAAATATAAATGAGTATTTAATTGTGAAATATGAGTGAAAATGTGTTGTTTTCAGATCTGCTGCTGTTGCAATAGAAGACAGATTGAACTCAGATCAGAGAGACGAGTAGTTAAGAGAGTAGTATGTTTTATTCTCATATCGATGAATCTCAAAGGTTTAATTCTGGCTGATAAAGTGACTGTTGGGGCTCTGAGTGTCATGCTAACTTTGGATTCAGCACTTCTGTTGTAGAGATGTTGGGCCTCTTCTATGTTGCATTATGTTCAATGTAACAGAGTATTGTGTGGTGATGACAGACAAAAACAGACGCTCATGTCAAGCTTGATGAGGATATAGTCCAAGCTCTGAAGGTAAACTGAACGAAGAAATTCTATCTATGCAACTTATAATACATATATTCAAAAACACTACTCAAAACCACTGATTAAAGGGATAGTTCACCCAAAAATGAAATTACCCCATAATTTACTCACCCTCAAGCCATCGTAGGTGTATATGACTTTCCTCTTTCAGACGAATCCAATCCGAGTTATATTAAAAAATGTCCTGGCTCTTCCAAGTTTTATAATGGCAGTGAATGGGTGTTATTTTTCCAATAGTCCAAAAGACGTCAAATAAAGGATGCATCTGATCCATCCTTCAGAACAGGCCAAATGAAGGACGCAAAACGAAGGCTGCTTTCCTAAGGATCCTTCAAATTGAGACAGCTGCTTACGGGCCTTTCAGAGTGCACGTTGTCTGTCAGCACTACTTTATGGCTCTCTTCTCTGCACTAATAACTGAGATTATCGTAGTGCAGATATAGTGTAAATATCGAGTTTGGAATAAGGTCCAAGTAAAAACTAAAATATCATTAGCCTATTACAAATAAGAGCTTATGAACTTACCTCGAGGATTTCGGTTTGTTTTTGTTTGATGATTCTTTCGCTCTCGGTTTGTTCAGCTAAAGTAATGTCTGTCTGAAGCTGATGACTCATCTCTTCCCTCTGCAATCCCCAGCAGAGTCACCTTCAATATTTTTTTTATTTATGCACATTTCAAATCGTAAAAAAATATTTTTATTTATGCACATTTCAAATCGTAAAAAAATACGATTTGGAAAAAAAAAAAAAAAGAATTGATGTGTAACGCTAAAGCAGTTAATATAAGAAACACAAGTAAAATTGTCTTCCTAAACCACTGCCTACACTTCTCTGATTGGCCCAGCCCGAGGCCAAACTGTGATTGGTCCGTTTTTAGTCAGTTTTTAATCATGTGTAAGTAATAGATCCCACATGAACAGGCAACAGCATGATGAAGAGTATTAGATGTCAGTGTACTGTTAGAAATCTGATCACATCAATGGTTCATCATAACACACCTCTAATCTTTTACTGGGGTTCAGATTTATTACAGGACACTTTCTGTCTTTGATAGAAACTGTGCGATTTGATCTGTGAACTCTCTATAAACCACAAATGATCAAATAATTACTAAGATATAGTCCACTTCAAACTCTGTCACTCTAATCTTTTACTGGGGTTCAGATTTATTACAGGACACTTTCTGTCTTTGATAAACTGTGCGATTTGATCTGTGAACTCTATAAACCACAAATGATCAAATAATTACTAAGATATAGTCCACTTCAAACTCTGTCGGGTGAAGTTCATGTGCAGCTGCTGTAAAGCAGAAACTGTAGCGATGTGCATTAATTTAGCAGATACACGGTTTGATCACTCATATTCAGTACTGTGATAATGTGACGGGATCTTGATTTAACTAATAGGTACATTCACTATTACATTCATAGTAAGTACAGGGAAATAGGACTGTAAAATAAAGTGCACCATTTTACATAACCATAGGAATTACCAGCACTTTAACCTTTGTAATAAGCACTGTTGTGGAGAGTGATTTAGCATTAACAGTGCTACACAGGCAGTTGAAAAAACGTATAGTCCACAAGTCAGAAAACATTCTTTGTGCATTTTTATTGACTAAACATGGCAATGCCTAAAATACATCTATGTATAGTACATCTAAATATACATTTACTAATAAGGTTTGCATGTTTCCTGATGCAGCGTGTGTTATTTGAATCTTCAGCAGCAGGTTTCCTCACCAAAAAATGTATATTCACTATATCATACCCTATATGCAGCAGTAATGTCTTGAAGTAGACAACCAAGATCACCTTGATGTAGTTTCCCCCTCCAATAATGCCATTCAATAAAAGCAAGTTGATATTTCAATGTCTTTAGAGTCATGTCACGCTGTAACGGTGTACTTCACCTCTGTAGGGTCTCCACGCACGTTCTATATGTTGTGTATGTGCTCCCGTTTGGATGCACAAAGAAATGACTGTGATTTACCTGATAATGAATAAAGCCATGCTGAGTAAGTCTCCTATAAGCTGGCCAGTCATCACTGAGTAGAGTGCTTCCTCAACACACATATACTTCTCAACAGTGGGAATCAATTTTCCAGCTGTTCTTCGCTCCATCACTTTGGGCACAGGTCTCCTTCGCCACCTCACATGCCAAACACCCATGCCCTTCTCCTCCAGGTGTTTCCAAATGCCCACATGCATACTGTATATAAGGGTATAACATGGTACTAGTCAAAATGCAAATTATCACACAGTCCATTCATTTATTATTATTATTATCTTGTAAAGAAATTAAAATATATAAACACCTGCTTGTGGAACAACTTGCTTTCATCTAGGACTACATCTTTCTTTCTCTTTGAGTTTTTTTGTATCAATTTAACAAATACTGTTACTTTGTGATGAAAATCTGTCCTTAATAAAGTTTTTCTTCAAACTTGCATTATCTCATATCCTTATGTGGCATGAACCATCTGCCTCTTTTGAGTTTTATTTCTTCACTGCTACAAATAACTTAAAAAAAAACAGCTATTTCACTCTACACTATAAAAAATATCACTGTACATGATAAAACAATTATCATGTTTTATTATATCAATTATCACTAACACCGATTAATTTGTTTTTCTGCTGTCAAATTGTGATACGCATCCTGTAATCTATTGAATGTTAATTTTTTTTATAGTGTCTGTGACCCTAATAAAGATAAACCTTGTTTGTCTATGTATCCTAAGGGAAAAATATCAATCAACAATATAGAAAAAGTGATTTGTGAATATGTATTTCAACAACAATTCAACTCTGCATCCCGCTGACACATGTTTTAGAATTTGTAGATACAATTCTAAAAAATAAAAAATAGATTTTTTTTTTTTTGTCAGTAATTGTTTTACACGTTTAAATAGGACTTTTATTTCGGGTTGGCTATGTGACGTCATTAGCACGCGCCGCGGTTCTGGGTCTGTTGTGGTTCGGCTGAAGAAAGGTTTGTGGTTTTTAGCTAATCAAAGTGTTTACAAAATTGATGCAAATTGTTCAGTCTATTTTATAGTTTTAACAAGTGATCTAAAATTAATCATTTATTATTGATTACATTGTAAAAACATTGTAATGCTTTATATAACATTAATGAACGCTATTTTGTCTGAGCGCATCTACGTGTGAGTAACAGAAAAGGTGCTCACTAAATCATGAAGCAGTTTATTATAAGCACACATTCGTGAAATGAGTGATGTGAGAAACGGAGCTTTTCGAATCTCCAGGTCAAAACGATACATTGTTTCAAAGCGCTCGATGGCGACACCCGCTGGTCAGAACACTGAACACGAACACAAACATGAGCGACGAGAACCTTTACAGACTAATAACACGTGTTTTCATGAAAGTGTAATCTATTAAATGCAGTCTAGAAATAAATAAATATGGCTTGTTGACATTGCATGACATTTTCACTGTCACACAAGATAAAAATGAATATAAAAATAGTATTGTCTTAATTTAAAATGCAATAAATGGTTAAACATGTCTTTGTCTTACATGGACCTGTTGTTATAAAAACTGCTTTGTTATTAGATTTTTCACATTTTTGAGCCAAATCTCAAAATTGTACTATGGCATGACTGTCACAAGCATGGTTTAATACAACTTTTATACATTAAAAAGAAAAGCATAAATGTTAATAAATACCTCAGGCATGATTTTACAAGTGTCTATTTTAGTAAGTGACAATCATTTTTTTCATCCAAATAGGCTAATTCTACAAGTGTAGGAACTTGGTACATTTTGTCACTGAAAACCACGTCCTCTGGTGTGACACCATATCCTGATTTTAAATCGGGCAATTCCACAGACAACTTTAATTAGTTGAAGGACCCCATTCAAGGTCATGTAAAAGCCACTAGAAGGCAAGCCTGCAACCTTTAGCCAAAAAAGCGTAACGGCTAATGCGAACGTTTTCAGCTTTTTAGAGGAAACCGCTTATCATTTAATGAATCGAGAGGAGAAGTCACTGACTTTTTGCGACAGGTAGATTCAGCTTACAGCACTTCTCATTCATTCCTATGCTATCCGTAAACGGCGACTGAGCATCGCACAACTCTGACTGAGATTCAATGACGTCAATGCTGTAATGTGATTGGTTATTAAGGCACACGTGATCCAAGTTGACCATTACGCTTTCTCCAATAGTAAGTAATACCAAAGTCCCTTTAAGGATAAGGGTGTTCTATAGTGTGACGCTACTAACATAACTTTTTTCAGTAACTTGACAGTAGCTCAGCTATTTTTAAAACAATGTAGCTTTTCCTGTAGCTAACTACTTTTTCCAGCAAATAGCGGTGTAGTGCGACAACAGCTACATTCTGTTTTGTGAACAAGATCAGCTACAGCGATAGCGATGCCTTTGCCCATATTAGGGATTTCCTGGAGCGTCATGACAAAGCCACTAGAAGGCAAGCCTGCAACCTTTAGCCAAAAAAGCGTAACGGCTAATGCGAACGTTTTCAGCTTTTTAGAGGAAACCGCTTATCATTTAATGAATCGAGAGCCTATCGGCTAATCTTCAACATGTTTTACACTAAACAACTATTGAACAATTTTTACAGTTTACACTGAAAAAAATGCTGTTTTATAAGAGAAGTCACTGACTTTTTGCGACAGGTAGATTCAGCTTACAGCACTTCTCATTCATTCCTATGCTATCCGTAAACGGCGACTGAGCATCGCACAACTCTGACTGAGATTCAATGACGTCAATGCTGTAATGTGATTGGTTATTAAGGCACACGTGATCCAAGTTGACCATTACGCTTTCTCCAATAGTAAGTAATACCAAAGTCCCTTTAAGGATAAGGGTGTTCTATAGTCAGGGGTGCACATAAGTGGTATGCAGGTGCGCATGCGCGACCAAAATAAAAAATGCGCTTTGTAAATTAGTTCTGACAGCGCATTTGCGTACCGACATGGTTGACAGCTGTTAATGGACACTTTTCACATTTCCGGGTTTCTCAGCAGCAGCGGAAGTCGTCATAGTTGGTTTAACTTGAAGAGCGGTGAATGGGAGAGGACCACAAATATATTTTTTGCATTCCCAGTTACTCAAACAGCAAAAGAAAAACCCCACGATAGTGTTTTCATGACTTTCAATAAAAGCGCATATACTTACTTGCCGGCAACCCGCCAAAATAAAAGCCTGCTGATTTTAAGTTTGAAAATGATGAAAATTCATTTTATTTTTAAGTTTACTATAAAATAGTTGTATTTGTATTTAATACTCCCTTTTTATTTTAAAATATAAGAGTATTATCACACTTTATTATTTTATTTATAAAAACTAAATAAAGTGCAACAATATTATCACTACGATTAATTTATTTTTTTATATTTGTATTTAATGGGTTACACTATACAGTGTGAGGACCAAACCAAATCTCCAGGTTCTCATATGAGAACCAGGCTGAAAAACTTATGTGCACCCCTGTCTATAGTCTTTGGTAATGCAGACCCTCTCATCTCCCAATAATAAGACAATCTCTGGTCATGTTAATGAAGCCCCCTGTGCACATAATAAGTTTTTGTCTCAGAATTCAAATATTTAACTTTTTTGGAACCACTATAAAGGTGTTACATTTTGTTGTCCTTTGGTGTGACACCCCTAAACACTTCTTCACACAGGGCCATGTAGTTTTGGATTTTGTTTTCCCTTAATAATAAAAACCTTCATTTAAAAACTGCATGTTGTGTTTTTTAAATTAAAAACTGTATATTAAACTACATGATTATGAAAGATTATGGAAATGTGTCTTGCTAACTGCTTATGACAGGTTAGCAATGAATAGCAAGGCCATTATCTGACACAAAAGGCTGAAACATCCTTTGGTGTGACAGATAATGTCCATTAGTGTGACACCTCCTTTTTATTCTTCATGAACATTTAAATATTTTCTGATGTTTTTGCAAAAAACTTGTACTGTTATAAAGTGTCATGAAAATAAGTATAAAATGTGATGCTTTGTTTTTGAGACATAAATAATTGAGAGCGAGAAATGAGTGAGAGAGAGGACACAGAATAGAGAGAATTAACAGGGATCCACGCAGAAGGGAGGAGATACTAAGAGAAAGATGCAGAAAGTAAACCAAATCGAAATGACGCTTTAAAAAGAGCAGCCATATACTTTTAAAAACGTATATTTTTTAAATTCACATCTTATTAAATAGGCTATAGTTTGAATATCAATCATATTTAGCTGTGCCGTGCAGTAGGGAGGCTCTAGAAGACTGTCAGACTGTGAGTTTTGTTGAAAATTATTTTTTGTTTTGATTAAAAAACATGTTTGTATCAAAATTAAAATTTCTTTCTTCTTTGACATATTCAAAGTTAAATAAAAATACTTGAATGTACTACTTCTCACTTTCTCTTTAAAGCAATAACTACCATCTCTGTCCTTTAGTGTGATGTAATGTCCTATGGTGAGACACACATAAAAGAACCGCAGATTTGTATTTATCTCAAAATATCTTGAGCAGTTGAGTATTGTAGTAGGGGGAATATAATCATCACTCGTCTTCAAATTGTATAATTTTCAGCAATTTTGAAAGAATGGCAGCAAGCTTTGTCTCGTCAGAGTTTGTCTTATGTTAGTCATATGAATATGTTATTCATAATTTCATATTAAATAAATAACACTATATGAAAATAAATGTCTAACAATGAAGATAAATCTCTCTCATGCTATTTGTATATTAATAAGAGTTTTTTTTTTCTTCTTCTTAATTTTTGGTATATCACACCATTGGACACATTTACCGTTAATGTTCAGTAAAAAATAAATAAATAAATAAAAATATTTATATTTATAATAAAAGTACGTGACCCCTTATATTTTCTCAAATATCAGAATTCACATTACGTAAATATATGTATTTTTTCTTAAAAATGGTGTTTTACAAAAATGTACTGCATATTTGTCAACTACTCATATGCAGTGTCTGCATAATTATTATTATTTTTTTTATTAATTTGTAGTTGTAGTTTTTGTTAGTCATTTAAGGCCATTAACTAGCACTCTGACTGACCCCCCTTGCCAGTGCGCTAACTAGAGAGCTAGTTGAGCAGTTGAGACGGACCTAGAGATTTAGTTTGGATTTATTTTTCTTTCTATTAATTATTCATTCTTTTTTTTAACATGCAGTTTCCAAACACAAAAATTCCTGGTGAAGCAACTGAGATCTTTGTCACATCCTATTATAAAGATGGCGTTTATTAAAGAGGAGAGTGAAGACATGAAGATTGAAGAGACATTCAGAGTGAAAGAAGAAGATACTGAGGAAACAGGTTGGTTTCCATTCTTTAAAGGGGACATTGGATGCCCATTTTCTACAAGTTGGTATGATTCTTTAGGGTCTTCATGAAATGTCTGTAACATACTTTGGTTAAAAATTCCTCAGTGGTCATGTAAAACAACATTCTTTTTACCTAATCCTCTGCTTCCTCGGTGGCTCTGATTCAATTAAATTCAAATGGATTTGTATAGCGCTTTTCACAATACTCATTGTTTCAAAGCAGCTTTACAGAAAATGCATGTGTCTACATTACATTAATTTGTAGTTGTAGTTTTTGTTAGTCATTTAAGGCCATTAACTAGCACTCTGACTGACCCCCCTTGCCAGTGCGCTAACTAGAGAGCTAGTTGAGCAGTTGAGACGGACCTAGAGATTTAGTTTGGATTTATTTTTCTTTCTATTAATTATTCATTCTTTTTTTTAACATGCAGTTTCCAAACACAAAAATTCCTGGTGAAGCAACTGAGATCTTTGTCACATCCTATTATAAAGATGGCGTTTATTAAAGAGGAGAGTGAAGACATGAAGATTGAAGAGACATTCAGAGTGAAAGAAGAAGATACTGAGGAAACAGGTTGGTTTCCATTCTTTAAAGGGGACATTGGATGCCCATTTTCTACAAGTTGGTATGATTCTTTAGGGTCTTCATGAAATGTCTGTAACATACTTTGGTTAAAAATTCCTCAGTGGTCATGTAAAACAACATTCTTTTTACCTTGTCTAAAACAGCTCTGATCACAGCGACCAGTTTCAGTGCATGTCTCTTTAAATGCTAATGAGCTCTGCTCACCCCGCCCATCTCTGTATAGCGCTTTTCACAATACTCATTGTTTCAAAGCAGCTTTACAGAAAATGCATGTGTCTACATTACAAAGCAGAAGTGAATGTGCCCAAGTAATGTTCATTTCACAAATTCTGATGTCGGAAGAAAATGAAGACTCTTATGTTCACTTTTACATCCAACTACAAAACACCTGCATTGCTTTCAAGTCATTGTTTTTGCTACAGCTGCTCGAGCGCGGAGAAAATGGTGGACAGCGTATAACTGGCTGAGGGCAGAGATATGCTAATACGGGACAGTCCGTCAACGGTCGTGGGCGGGGCTTGTGCAATATGACGTCATATTGCTTAGAAAATCAAAACAGCTTGATTATTGAGTCTGTTTAGGTTTTTTGGGGATTAAAAAATAAGTAGTGAATGGATTTTTATCATTATAGGGTGGTTGTGTCCACACACTGCTAAGACACATTTATATGCAAACACCATGTAAAAGTGAATTTTGCGTCCAATGTCCCCTTTAATCTGAACTCAGTCATGTGATCCTTATTAAAACGTTTCCCTCTTCAGAAATAATTATTTTTTAAGAATGTCATATAAGAGCCTTAATTAAGCTTTTATTTCAGACTATCCACAGATGGTACTTTTTTGGCCGATACAATATCGATTTTAACAAACATCTATTGGCTAATTTCGATATGGATATTTATTCATATTTGTCACTTGCTCACTTATTTGACTTTTAATCATTAAAATATATTACTGTTTAGATCATGTTTTAAATGAGCAAGAACACATGCATTAAGATATACTAGTTATTACTGCATAATCAAATAATTTCCATTGAACATGGATTGGGTCTATTTAACATTCAACAAGCCAACATTATAAGAGAGGCACAAGATAAAAAAATAAATACATACATACATAAGACACCATGACAACCTTCAGAAGTTATTTTTGCTATCAAATATTTCTTATCAACAACATTACCTCGTTTTTGACCTATTATTATAGAATATTACATATTTCTTTAATAAACACATTAACAAATAATTCCAGAATTATTGCTTTAAATATCAAGTATACATTTTGCTACTTCAGAAAACAATTGACTGCTTTTTCCCCCAAGTGCTGTCTGTATAGCTGTCAAACTATACAGGGCTCAACCCTAAGGAATTTGTCAATCACAAATATATACAATAGAACAAAGATACAAATTAAATAATGCTTTTAGGTAGGTCTAACAGTAGTTTTAAGGCATAGAAATTGAATATAGTATTAATCAAAAGTAAAACACAAATGTATAACACTGCATGTTCTTCACTGTATAAATTAAATATATATTAAAATATAAAGCCACTGGCACACTGCTTTATGTACCGAAATGAGTTCTTTCACGTCTTCTTGCGCTTGAATATTTTTGCACTTGAATAACATTGCGCCATTTCTACTTCATTGCACATGTGCAAAACTTGCCAGTTTCGGTTTCAATCCAGTCAAGTGTTTATATGTCCTATCGAACGGATTATAAAAGGTTTATCACAAACCGTAAATATAAATTAATATTTATATTCATACTATCAATATATGACCAAAAGTTATGATGTGTGGAAGGAAATGAAAAAAAGTCTGGGATTAGGGTCCAGAACGGAAACACGTCGCTGCTTATGTAGCTAGAGAATATTGCTCCATAGTAGAAAAACCGCCACCATACTACGTACCTGAACCTTCCAGACCGCCGTCTGTAAAATCTAAAAACCCACATACTAGTCCATACACTGCGGCATATGGTTAACTATCTGGTAACAATAATAACTTTAATAATAATAACTTTATTTTTATATAGCGCCTTTTAAAACAGTTTCTCAAGGCGCTTTACATAATAAAACAAGTAAAAATACAACTCACACATGATGTAACACCGAGTTGAAATGTTAAACAGCCCAGATGGGAAACTGTGTGACACACGCTATGCACATGCGCAGATGTCAATCTGCCACAAAACTACCGCAAATGCTCTAGTGGCCGTTACAATGACAACCAATTAAAAACAAACTAAGATATAAAAATCAAAACAGTCAAGAAAAAGCTAACCTAAAAAAAGGAGTTTTTAAGTAAGATTTAAAAATACTTAGGTTTTGTGCATCTCTAATTTGTAGAGGGAGTGCATTCCAAAGCCTAGGAGTGTAGGAAGAGAAAGCCCTGTCCCCTACAGAGCACAGCCGTGTCTGTGGAACTACCAATAAACCAGCTTGTGAGGACCGTAAATGATGCTTGGGTGTATATAAAGTTAAAAGTGCAGACAGATATTGAGGGGCCAGACCATGCAGTGCCTTATATGTGAGCATAAGGATTTTAAAATCAACTCGGAACCTGACCGGGAGCCAGTGCAAAGACTTTAGAATTGGTGTAATATGCTCATTTTTCCTGGCACCAGTCAGGATGCTAGCAGCTGAGTTTTGCACACATTGCAATTTGTTAAGTGTGGTTTTAGGAACCCCAACAAGAAGTGCATTGCAGTAGTCAATGCGAGAAAAAAACGAAGGTATTAATAAGCCTTTCAGTCACAGAGAGGGATAGCATAGAACAGAGTCTAGCAATATTTCTGAGATGAAAAAATGAGTTCTTAACAGTGTACTGCACATGATAGTCAAAAGACAGACTCGAATCAAATATAACTCCTACATTTTTAAATTTGGTTTGTGACTCCAAAACAGAGCCATCAATGTTTAAAATGAATGAGCCAGCTTTACGAAGCTGATGGGAGGAGCCAATGAGCAAGACCTCAGTCTTATCATTATTAGGACACAAGAAGTTTTCGGACATCCATATTTTTATCTCAGAAATACAATGTGTTAAAAAAAAGAACATCCAAATTTTGACCAGGCCTAGAATGAATATAAATCTGTGTCATCTGCATAAAAATTATAATTAAGCCCAAGTGATCTTAGAAGCAGTCAGAGTGGAAATATGTAAATGCTAAAAAGTAAGGGGCCCACAATTGAACCTTGGGGAACACCCGTACGGACAGAGCCCATCTCTGAAAACCAAAAACCACTCATACAGACAAACTGTTGACGATCAGTGAGGTAAGATCTAAACCAGGTTAAAACAGTCTCAGAAACACAAAAAACAGTTTCCAGATGATTGAGTAAAAGTTTGTGATTAATAGTACCAAAAGCGGCACTAAGATCAAGAAGAATAAGAACAAAGAGAGAACCAGAATCTGAGGCTATTAGCAGATCATTGGTGACCTTGACCAAAGCGGTCTCAGTACTATGAAATTTTCGGAAGCCAGACTGAAGGGGCTCAAAAGGATTATTTACTATAAAATGACTGTGCAGCTGCAAAGCCACAACACGTTCTAAAATTTTTGCAAGGAATGGAAGGTTTTATGTAGGGCGATAATTATTTAAAGCCTCTTTGACACAGAAATTCTGGAAAATACACAGATAGTGTGTCCTGTGATTTGTCCTGGGATCGGTTGACTGTGGTTAATTCACACTGCCAGTGATTTTCCGGAATCTGTGTGTGTGTTCACACACATCCCATAAAGATCCCGTAAAGACACGTGACATTACGATGTGATGTGTAATGTGACGCGTTCTGTTTCACTTAAGCTGGCGAATGATCTCAGCTTCAGCGCGGATAGTGAGGAGCTACCTGATCTCTGCTTCATTACAGTTTGCACATATTTTTTCGTCGCGAACGTTGATCTGCCTTCAAAACACCCAGTAAAAGAGTTGCACGATAACGTGCGTCATCATTATTACGGCATTGGTTCTGGCTTTTGTTCACACAGAGCTTGTTCCGGGACTGAACCCGGCAATGTTACTAGGTCCCCAACTCGGGATCGATCCCGGAATCAATCCCGGGACGTGTTTGCGTTCACACAGAAGGCACTCCGTCAATTTTCTGGGACCAATGTGCAGTGTGAAAGGGGTTTATTTAAGTTATCCAAATCAGCATTATGCTTCTTTGGAACAGGTGTTACAGCAGCAGTTTTCAGTGCTGCTGGTACAACACCAGTACTCAGAGAATCATTAACAATGCTGAGAACAGCTGGGCACAAAGAGTCAAAACAAGACTTAAATAAGCTTGTAGGGAGGGGATCAAGCATGCAAGTGGTAGCTTTCATATGTGATACCTACCTAGTAAGCAGCTCAGAGTAAATTTTATAAAAAGTTGTAAACAATGTGCCATGAAAACTAGACAGGCAAACTGTTGAAGATGAAACAGGTGCAGCTTGAATAAGTTTGTAAACATTGTCAATTTTAGAACTAAAGAAATAAAGAAAATCATTACACAATTTATTTGAAACAGGTAGAGAAGTGCCAACATTAACTTTGAGAAGTCTGTTAATAGTATGAAAGAGATGCCTGGGATTACTTTGATTATTATCTATAATCTGAGAAAAACAGATCTGGTAGACTCAATTTCAGCTCTATATTCCCCCATGTGGTCTTTCTAAGCTTGATAAAACACATTCAGTCCTGAGTCATGCCACTTGCGCTCCAATTTACGGCAAGCTGCTTTCTTAGAGCGCAAGTCGTCATTATACCAAGGGGCAGAACGAGCAAAAGAGACACAGCAAGATTTCAAGGGAGCAAAAGAATCCAAATTAGAGGCAAGAACAGTATTCAACTGCAAGATCTTATCTTCAAGAGAAGCTGACGGAAGACCACTAAGAGGAAACAACAGAGTCTGCAAAATCTGACGAATTAATTGATTTCCATTTACGGAAATGAACAGTATATGAAAATGAAGTACAAGGGAGAGACAGATCCAGGTTAAAGAAAATTGCCAGGTGATCTGAGAGACCAGTGTCAACAGAGGACTGCTGTGAAACAGTTGCATCATTTGCAATCACAAGGTCTAATGTGTGACCTTTGTTATGTGTCGGGCCGCTAATAAACTGTTTGAGATTAAAACAGTCCAACAAAAATAGAAAGTCCTTTGTCATCACGCAGTCATTTTGGTCAATGTGTATGTTAAAGTCCCCCAAGATAAGGATGTTCTTGAATTTAAAACACAACATGGACACCAAATCACACTGAACGCAAAAATTCAGCACGAATGTTATGCACGATGACGCTTTTGAATCAAAACAATAGATCCTTATGGGACTATTCACACCAGGCGGGATTATTCGTGGCGCGAAAAAGTGAGGATTTTTTTTTTCATCCTGTGTGTAGATTTAGCTTAGATCACAAACCCGGAGCAGCTGCTGTTGCACAAAAGGGCGAGAGTTGTGGCGCTGTTCCGAAAACCAGTGTAAACAAACACAGAAGAAGAGAGAAGAGAGTTGATGCTGAGTTCTTGTTATCATTAGTATCTGAGAACCAATTTATTCTCACATGTTCTTTATACAGAATATCATTTCTGTTCATTTCCCACTGAATTATGTGATCTGAAGAGCACTGCCCGTTTTCTTCCACTTGTGCGAGTGTTGAGCTCAACGATACTGCCTTGAAAAATATCGGTATCGTATCGAAAACAAAATAAGGGGTATCGCCCATCCCTAGTCAGAGCATTCAGATCTGTCAATCATGTGATCATATCTCCTGCCCTTCAGTGTGAAAAAAAGAGAAACAATTTTCTACACATGAAATATCAAAACAAATAGACATACGATTGTGACAATATATTTTCTGTATGTGTTGTTATGCAGCTCATGGTATTTCCATAACAATAAATGATGTTTATGACAAATGATAAGCGGGTGTATATTTTAAGATGTATTCTTGTATGCATTATAGATAGTTTGTTTCTGGTGTAAAACCAAACTTTATTTATCTTAATTTAATGTTGTATATTGAGCAGCGGACGATGTTAACTCCATATACGAGATACATAACTGAGGAAAAATGCATTGTTGGTCAGCGCCCCCTAGCGTGTAAGCGAGAATTAGCTGAAGGTGATCAATCATTTCGTGCTCGGTGTGAAAGTACCGTTCGTCTGCAGTTCACCAAGCTTTTTCGCATCGTGCTCAGTGTGAAAAGGCCTTAAGACTGCAGCCTACTACACTGAACTACACACCCATTTCAGGCCATGGAGTCTCTACTAATGATCTTATGACCTCAATCAGGTGTGTTTGATTAGAGACAAAATGTGCTCTGTTGTTGGGGTGGCTCCAGGAACATGGTTGAAAACCCATGGCTTAGTGAGTACAGGTTCTAGCTGTATGTTTTTAGTTTTGATGTCTTTTGCTTTGTGCCATTAAACTGGGGTTAACTTTTTAATGTTTCTTTTTCACCTTAGAACTGATGCCGCTGAAAGTGGAGAGTGACATATTGAATCATATAGAAGAGAAAGATCAATATGAGAAACATCATGATTTCATTACTGAAGATGAATCTTTTAGTTACTCACAGACTGAAAATACTTTCTCACAAAAAAAAGTTCGAAAGATGGGAACAAGAAATTACTTTGCTTGCTTTCAGTGTGGGAAGAGGTTCAGTCAACATGGAAACCTTCAGGCTCACCTAAAACTTCACACAGGAGAGAAGTTTTACACATACCCTCAATGTGGAAAGCAAGATGGGAACCTTAAAGTCCACATAAAAATTCACACTGGAGAGAGCCCTTTCACCTGCCAACAGTGTGGAATAAGCTTCACTGTAAAAAGAAGCCTTACCAGGCACATGGGAATCCACACTGGAGAGAAGCCTTACACATGCCCTCAGTGTGGAAAGAGTTTTAATCAACATGGAAACCTTGAAGTCCACATGAGGGTTCACACTGGAGAGAGCCCTTTCACCTGTCAACAGTGTGGAAAGAGTTTCAACCGAAAAGGAAACCTTAATTATCACATGAGAGTTCACACTGGGGAGAGACCTTTCACCTGCCAACAGTGTGGAATGAGCTTCACTATAAAAGGAAGCCTTACCAGGCACATGCGAATTCACACCGGAGAGAAGCCTTACACATGCCCTCAGTGTGGAGAGAGTTTCAAACGACATGGAAACCTTAAAGTCCACATGAGAATTCACACTGGAGAAAAGCCATACACATGCCCTCAGTGTGGAAAGAGTTTTGATCAACATGGGAACCTTAAAGTCCACATGAGAATTCACACTGGAGAGAAGCCTTACACATGCACTCAGTGTGGGAAAAGTTTTGATCAACATGGGAACCTTAAAGTCCACATTAGAGTTCATACTGGAGAGAAACCTTACACATGCACTCAGTGTGGAAAGAGTTTTGATCAACATGGGAACCTTAAAGCCCACATGAGAGTTCACACTGGAGAGAAGCCTTACAAATGCATGCAGTGTGGTAAGAGTTTCACTAAAAAAGGACACCTTGAAGTCCACATGACAATACATACTGGAGAGAAGCCTTTCACCTGCAAACAATAGGTGCGTTTCCATTACAGATTTGCACAAAACTTTGGCGATATTTTAAAAATGTTGCTAAAAAGTATTGCGAAATGACGGCGTTTCCATTAACCAATGTTATGCGACTAAAACGTAACTTTTGCCTCTTGCAATAAGTCATGACAACGGATTTTGGTGGGATTTTGGCTATATTTATTCAAAGGAGGCGTATGCGTGTATCTTTACAGAAGCAGCACAGAGAGCCGCTTCAGAAACATGCATGGCGCGGCTGGAATAAACACAAGCATTGACTAGAGTGGCCTCAATCATCATCAGTGGCAGTATCAGAGCCACACTGCACCGCAGACGTGTGAAACGCAGCTACTGTGGAAAAAGTTTCAGCTGAAAAGGAATCCTTAACAAGCACATGAGAATTCACACTGGAGAGAAGCCATTTATATTTGGTCAGTGTGGGAAGACTTTCAGATATAATTGGAACCCTTAATTACTACATGAAGATTCACTTAAGAAAGAACTGTTTTATATCATCAGTGTGGAATATGTTTCACTGTGGAAAAAATTTGCGGAAACAAAGCAACTCTTAAGGTTTATGCAGTTTCAGATGTTTCTTGAGGTTAGTTTATAAACTTCTATGAAGTGTATTTTTGTACCAATAAAGGTCCAATATTTGTAAAAATGATAATTTTCCATCCACAGTTTTACTCTCTGTGAAAAACACTCAGCTTCAAGGGGCATTACCTCTTGGAGAAATGGAAATAAAGAGCCACTGCTGTGATTGGCTAACTTCATCACACCATATCCATGCCCTCTTTCACAACATGTTGTTTGTTTTGATACTCGAGATGGTAAATACTGTGATAGAGCCATATATGTTTGAGCTTGAGTCGGAAGAAGTGGAAACAATGCAACCACAATGATGGTAACAGTCTGTTTCAGTGTGGTAATTGCTTTTGTTTGCTTAATTTCCAGTACTTGTCATATTACAAAGGCCACTACATGTACGCAGATGTGTACAAATTTGATCAACACTCAAAACAATGATTTGCAGTAATTCACAAAGCAGTTTTAAAATGTTAAGAACAAACGAAAATGTTATCTTTAGGTCGCTCAGGCATGTCATTAAAAATAAACTTCAGTATTTTTATATCAATGGTAGAGCCCTGTGCGGTACTGTTTTCTTAATCGCGCTCCCGCTGAATTTTTGACCATTACTGCCTGCTCCCGCATCGTGTGTGTTCCCCTCTCGCCCACTCCCACCCTGGAGTGGAGTCTAAACACTAATATTGTACAGTATATAATTTTCGCGCATCAGGGAGCTATTATCTTAAAGAGATAAGATATTTGTCAATGAGCTCAGGATCTGTGGAGCAGCAAGTCCTCCACCATGGTCTTATCAGTCATCTCTCATTACTCTTGACCCGTGACTCTGACTCCTGCAGCTCGTTTTGGATGCAGGGTTGTCAAGTCTGCCCTTTTTCCCACATAATTGGGCTTCTTTTAAACTGTTGCAGTGGGTTGATTTTTTTCCCTGTGGGTTAAAGGTTTGAAATATTGCATAAATTACATTTGACTGAAATGCTTGTAATTAATTATATTTTGCATTCTGCCTATGATAAAACTGCGTTAAAGGGGTCATATGATGCGATTTCAAGTTTTCCTTTCTCTTTGGAGTGTTACAAGCTGTTCGTGAATAGATAAGATCCAAGTCTCAAACCCAAAGAGATTTATAAAAGTTAAGACTCGTCCACGCCCTCCAAAAATGCCTCGTTCTAACACGCCCCCACATGTCTACGTCACTGTGTGGGAAGATTTGCATAACACCGCCCAAATGTTCACACAAAGAAAGAAGGCGTAACTTTATTGTTGCTGCCACCGCCGCCGCCATGTCGTGAAGATGCTGTGTGTTTCATTGCGAAAGCAAAAATACTTTGTTTGGTCTTCCAAAAAAGAGGACACGACTGGAAATCGGTGGTTAAGTTATATTTACAAAACTGTTCTGGAACAGTGTAATGTCTGATTACTTATTCTTAGGGAATTAATTATTATTAATTCATTCAGGTTTTGAGAGGACTCGAATCTGAAAATTCGAAGTCAACCTGATTAGAACTGATTTCAAATTTTAATAGTTTACACCTTAACAACGGTCGTCCAGCGAGACGTTAATGTCCGTGTATCTTAACAATCTGACTATGTGTATTTTCCTTGGCCACAGGTCAATACAATTATGATAATTTGTAAGCTCCTAGCGAGGTAACGTGATCTTGGCAAGGTTTGACTTTAAAATTATACGACACCAGACAATGATTCTTTATAAATGAAACACGAATTTATTGGCTATTCTAGATTACATTAAACTAAGCTAAAACACACATACACACACACACATACAGTACATACAGTTCTGAAGAATGAAAATGATGTTAACGGAGTTCTGAGGAAAGCCCAAAGTTTTAGCAAGATATTCGCTACAGTTCTCTTACTTGCAACCTGAGAAAATCACAAAGCAGAGACTTGGCTTATGTTTACTGCTTAAAATTAGCTCGGCACCAGTTCAGCAGATAGAAGATTTTGTTCGTTTACTTGCGTTTTGGGTGACAGCTGAAAAGCTGAGTTTCCTGGTTTGGCTGCTTGAGGGAATTCCGTTGCTGATTGTCAGGACGGCGTCCCTTTGGGGAAGCCCTTCCGGAGATTGGTTGGTTTCTTGATGACGCAGAGGCTTGAGCAGTTCTGCTGAAAAGTCTGAGTTTGCAAGACTTTAAGTTCTTTGAAGATCTCTGACGATCACGAAGTTTCAACTGAAGTGTTTGAGTTTTAGATGACCGATCGCTTTGATGGTAAGCGTGTGAGCACAAGTTGGAGTGCTCGTAACACGGCGAAAAATTCATACCAAAGTTTCTCACATAAAATAAGCTTTCATTCAAGCTCAAATAACAGGTATTTTGCATACACAATAATCTTAATTACTAAAAGGAAAAGTTATAAGGCAAAGATTAAGATATCATGGTTTCAATAACACATCAAACAGAAAGCATATTATTTGGGAGTATATTGCTCAGACAATTCATAAGACAATCATTTAAAATCATTTAAAGTATCGGTGTAAGTTCGGTTTCTTTGTCTGTGACAGGAGAAACGCGTGCTTTTCAGGGAAGTAGTAAAAGGATGCGTCCCTTTTTTGGAATGCAGGGGGA